TTTCAAAAATCCAAAATTATTATATCGGTTCACATTTATTAATATCCCCTCATATAACGCTACACCCAACAATATTCCAAAGTTTAGGGATTTCGGACAAGTTTTTCAACAAAATTCGTTTTAATTTAATACTATGGGATATAATTGGGAGAAAAATCTTACTACTAAAATGTTTCGGTCCCAAGTCCAAAATCCACGCCTTGTGTTGTGCCATATTTTTTAAATGACCTTCAAAAAGAAGCCCTTATGATTAAAAATATTTTTATGACATACCTCAAGGCGTGGATTTTTTAAAAATATTTTTATGACATACCTCAAGGCGTGGATTTTTTAAAAATATTTTTATGGCATACCTCAAGGCGTGGATTTTTTAAAAATATTTTTATGACATACCTCAAGGCGTGGATTTTTTAAAAATATTTTTATGACATACCTCAAGGCGTGGATTTTTTAAAAATATTTTTATGACATACCTCAAGGCGTGGATTTTTTAAAAATATATTTTTATGACATACCTCAAGGCGTGGATTTTTTAAAAATATTTTTTTATGACATACCTCAAGGCGTTGATTTTTTAAAAATATATTTTTATGACATACCTCAAGGCGTTGATTTTTTAAAAATATATTTATGACATACCTCAAGGCGTGGATTTTTTAAAAATATATTTTTATGACATACCTCAAGGAGTGGATTTTTTAAAAATATTTTGATGACATACCTCAAGGCGTGGATTTTTTAAAAATATATTTATGACATACCTCAAGGCGTGGATTTTTTAAAAATATATTTTTATGACATGCCTCAAGGATTCTTTTAAAAATATTTTTATGACATACCTCAAGGCGTGGATTATTTTAAAAATATTTTTATGACATACCTCAAGGCGTGGATTCTTTTAAAAATATATTTTTATGACATACCTCAAGGCGTGGATTATTTTAAAAATATATTTTTATGACAAACATTGAAGCTAGTGACTAAGACCACACTGTAGTACAGGGTATTATCTCGATGGGCATATGTTTGTAACCGGCAAAAGGAAATGAGATAGACACATGGTTCCTTTTGAGAATATGCATAGGATCACTTTTTGTTTTGATTTATGCATGTCCGTCTATCCACCTACTCTTGTGATCCGATTTAGATGAAATCTGTCATAGCTCACTTATTTAGCCCAAGGAGGAACCCTATTGAAATTTGAGAAAATTGGTTCAGGTTTAGATATAGATCACACATATAGTTTCGACCGATTTTATGTAAATGGTGCACAAAACTCCCAAGGATTTCCGATTAATACAAAATTTTGTACAGCGTATTAAAATATGTCCACATTGATGTATACGAAGCTTTGTTGAAATCGGTTCTGATTTAGATATAGCTCCCATATATATTTTCGTCCGATTTTTTGGTAAATGGTACACCAAACTCCTAATATTTGTCCGATCGATATAAAATTTTGCACAGCGTCTAATTTGATGTCCGCGAAGTTTTGCTGAATTCGGTTTAGATTTAGATATAGCTCCCAGCAAGGATTGTCTGGCGCACCAAACTCGCAAAATTTTGCACAGCGTATTTTAATTCGATCAAGGACATTCAAACCACATTGAGTTTCCGATTAATATTCGAACGTAACCTCAATCTTATAAAGAGGCTTTAGGTCTTAGCATTCTAATCGAAGAAGGTATATATTCATAGTTTGTTTTTAAGACATTCGCTTCTTCTATTCTGGGCATTTTTTTTTGTCATTTTAGAGCCATTTTATAATTGGGGTTCCTTCATGAGGCCACATAAATTTCAATCACTTTGATTACATCTCTTATGCGCATAACAATTATCCGGAGTCGACCGTATAACGGATTAAAATCTTATTTGTTTTTAAATTATACATTGCAACATTTGTTTATAAATTATATATGTTGCATATGAAATTTATTTTGCCGAAAAATTCCACTCATCAAAAATATTTACTATATCAGAATATAGAGTCTCAACAAATTTGTTTATATATTTACTTCAAATTGTTATTGTTGTTTTATATCGCGAAATATACGTGGCAATTTGTTATAATTAATCGTCAATCGGATTATAATTGTAATCGATCGCAAAAACGCATTCGAGTTTTGACCTTCTTTCGATTTTATTATGATTTTTATTGCGAACTGACCTTTTCGTCATGAAGTTTCGTACAAGACTGAAGTGTAGGGTAAACACACTTGAGAGCTACGCAATAGACATCTTTTTCCACGAATCGTCCGAATTGGTATGGAGTGTTGTTGGTGATTCGCGGTGGAAGTTTTTTATATCGCATTAGTTGAAAGTAATTAAAACAATTAAAACACGAGTATATAATTTGAAGTTCATATCACCCTACAGCAGTAGCTACTTGAATTTGTGTGTGAGATTTTTTTGGGAAATAACAGTAAAGTGCTATCGTGATGGCAAATAAATCATAATGAAATACTCGATGAAAGGTATTCCCCTATGATCGCAAACCAGTATAAAATGAAATATTCAGTAATGGGGGCAAGCAAGGGGAATATTAGAAATAGCAATATTGGTGAGTATATGAAAGATTTTGGTGAGTATATGAAAACCCCAGAAGGAAAAATTTGCGACAGGTCAAAGTTCGGAGGTATGGTGTGATCATTTTTTGCTGGAGACACTTTATTCTTAAAGATATAGCTTGATATTTTGGTTTGTATTTTTTTTTTAGATTCAGAGCATTTTATCCCTCTAATTTAATTCCTAGTGTGTCCTTTTCGTCCCAATTTTTTTGAAAACGACTCTAATTACTACAAGTTGCGATTTTTCTTCCTCGAAATATTGTACATGTATTTAGTGTAGCGTGGGTATTAAAATATATACGAGGAATCAATGATCCATTGATAACATGTTTCAAAAGATCTGATACGGAGTGTTTGTTTCCATGTTTCGGTATTTGAAGATTTTGGAAACTTTTTCCAACTACATTTTCTGCAATTTGTTATTGTGGGCTCTAGGAATCCTAATTTTTCGTTAAAGGGGTATCCATTTCGTGGTTTCAATTTGTTAAACCATTTTTTGTTTTCTGATTTTCTTTGAAATTCTGATATTGACGAAAATGGTTCGCTTAACTATCTCACAACGCATAAAAATGATCAAAATCTACTCCAAAAGTGGTTATTCTGCCAAAAGATAGATACCAGGCAACGGCTTTGATTGGCTTTAACAAGGCAAAGCCCAGGCTTATCTTGATCCTTCTTTCATCTCAATTGTGAACACTTGCCTCCCCGCGGTGTCACCTGGGGTTACTACTTTCATCATCCGTTAAACTAGTGAAGTGATATGTACCGAGAGTTCGCCCATAAGAACTATAAAAAATGGGTTGAAGCGTGGGGTTAGTTGCTCACACTCGGAAAACCCCTTCTACTAAGAAGAAGCTATAAAACTAAACGACCCCCAAACGTATAAAGTACCAAGATCTGCGAATCTGCACTTTGAATGTACACACGTTATACAGAACAGGTACAGTTTTTGCTTTAACGGATATACTCAAGAAGTACAAAGTCGATATTATTGCCATACAGGAAATTTAATGCAAAAATCGGAAGGGAAAATATGTTTGGCCCCACCGTCGGAAAATTCAGCCTCCACGAGGAAACACCCGACAACGGCATGAGGTTGATTGACTTCGTGACAGCAAAAACATGATAGTTAGCAGCACCAGATTCAAGCATCTCGATGTACACAAGGTCACCTGGATCTCTCCTGATCAAGCAACGAGATATCAAATTGATCATGTTATGATAGACGGAGGAGCTAATATCGATTCGGACCATTACCTAGTAGCGGCCAAGGTTCGCACTTGTCTTAATGTAGCAGCTGCAAACACAACAGGTAGCCGTGGCCTACTCCGCTCAACTTGCCCACCTGCTTGACGAAAGCATTCCTTGTCCCGATAATAATATAGAAGCACAATGTCAAAGAATTGCCCACTCCCTACAAGCTGCAGCAAAAGCAACAATTGGGTACCAAAATCCACCATCAAGAAACCCGTGGTACGATCAGGAGTGTCGTAATGCTACTGAGGCGAAAAACGTATCGTAACACGTACGGCGAGATGGAATTATCGGGTGAAAAGGAGAGAGGAGAAACGTATCTTCAGAAAAAAGAAGAAAGAACAAGAAAGACGTGAGCGTGAGCAAACCGAGAGTCAGAATGAAGTCCGGAAATTTTAGCAACGAGTAAAACACCAAACAGAATATCAATCGGCTGAAGAATAATAAAGCAGCATGTGCCGATGGATTATCAGCCGAACTATACAAGCGTGGTGGCCAGATGTTGATAAAGAGGATGCACCAGGTGATTGATTGGATAGTGACCCGTGCACAAAAAGGAAGCAAGACGATATTTTCCAACTTTAGTGGAATTAGTCTCCTTCCCATCGCATATAAAGTGCTATTCCGTTTTGAAGTTCGGAGAAGGATAGTTTTGGCCAACTTATACTACTATTTTCTAAGCAAGCAATTTAGAAACAACGCTTGGAGTGTAAGAGGCAAAGTGAAATTGTGCTAGTGTCCATTTTCATGAGTGTCTTTCCGATATCAGAATTTCCAATGATGTGACTCCTCTTATTACAGGTAGGTATATTTTTGCTGTCCACCAAATAACAGACGAGTAATATAGACACACACTGTGATGATCACAGTGTTTCTGTTTTCAACATTCCAGAATGTTTGATGGTAGAGATTTTTTTCATTTAAATAATAAAATAATATAATAAAATGTTATTCTTTTTATTATATTTTATATTTACATTTATTAGATTGGGGGCGAAGTGACCGCCAAATGAATTCATGTATGACATAAATAACTAAAGCCAAATATTGGACTACTTATAAAACTAATAACAAAAGATTTTAGAGCATTCATACCCTAGCGATGCAATGGTTCAATGTGGGACTAACGATGAGTGGTGGTATGATTGTAAAAGATCACAGAATACTTGATGTGTAGGCTTATTGCCAACCACCAGCTGAAGAAGCACCGGCATATGAACCAGCACCGCTGGCACCACCATAACCACCGGCACCACCATCAGCACCCAAAGCACCGATAACTTTAAGGGATTTCAAAGTTTCAAGTGCATCGTCGAAGCCACCAGAGCCAGCAGCAGAAGTAGCGCCAGCATCAGCAAAACCGCCATAACCACCAGCAGAATAACCTCCAGCAGATGCTTCTTCGTGAATAACTTTAATAGTTTGTTCAGCAGCGGCGCTAGCACCACCGGATGAGTATCCTCCGGCGGAGTATCCCCCGGCCGAGTAACCTCCAGCCGAAGCACCACCTTGTTCATGGACAACTTGAATGGTCTTAACTTCTTGAGCAGCACCGGAACTGGCACCTCCATATGAATAACCACCTTGAGCTGCACCAGCGGCAGCACCACCTTGTTCATGGATAACTTGAATGGTTTTTACTTCTTCAGCAGCACGATGGCCATAGCCGCCAGCGGAGTAACCACCGGAATAACCACCAGCGCTAGCGCCTTGTTCGTGAACAACTTGTATGGTTTTAACTTCCTCAGCAGCACCGTGACCGCCAGCGGAGTAACCACCGGAATAACCACCAGCAGCAGCACCTTGTTCGTGGACAACTTTAATGGTTTTTACTTCTTCAGCAGCTCCGTAACCACCAGCAGCAGCACCACCACCATAGGAGTAACCACCTTGACCACCAGCAGAAGCACCAGCTTGTTCATGGACAACTTGAATGGTTTTGACATGCTCAGCACTACCTTGACCACCGGCGGCTGCGTATCCGTGTCCTCCTTGCTGCTGTTGTTGTTGTTGATGGATAACCTTAATGGTCTTGACTTCTTGGCCACCAGCGACAGCACCACCATGAGCATATCCACCTTGTTGCTGTTGTTGTTGATGGATCACTTTGATTGTCTTGACTTCTTGGGCGCCACCGGCAGAGTAACCACCATATTGTTGTTGTTGCTGTTGTTGTTGGTGAACAATTTTAATTGTCTTAACGGCTTGACCACCAACAGTGGCACCAGCACCACCACCATAGGCATAACCACCATGTCCACCGGCTTGTTCTTGATGAATGACCTTAACGGTCTTAACCTCTTGGCCACCACCGAAACCACCAGCAGAAGCACCTCCAGCATAACCACCAGCTTGTTGTTGATGAATGACTTTAATGGTTTTGACGGCAGCACCTCCTTGGGCGCCACCACCATAACCTCCTCCATAACCACCTTGAACAGCACCGCCTTCTTGGTGGATCACCTTAACAGTGTGAACGGCACCACCAGCTGCAGCGCCACCGCCATAGCTTCCGCCATGACCACCACCGCCACTGTAACCTCCATGGCCACCAGCAGCATATCCACCGCCAGAGCTACCGCCCAAGAATCCGGCTGAGCATGAAGCTACTAAAACTGTTAAAACACACACGAAAACCTAGAATTCGAAAAAGTATTCCATTGGTTATTCCATACCACTCCAAATTCCGCTTTGAATGTACCCACCTTCATATTAGGAATCTTCTTGCTTAGGCTGTAAAAATGGAAGATCAAAGGTGATTCCTATGCGACTTGTCTCCGAATGAATTGAGACTGATGTTGATTCGCTGTAGCCATTGGTGTTTTATATGAAAATCTAAAATCGTGTCTTCTCGGTTGTTATCGAAGAAAACTCATCTTCGAATATAGGTAGCTTCTGTTTCGACGCAGCAGATGCCAGTTTTGGTAGTCAAATTACATATCAGCTGCAGTAACTCTCTTCGGCTTTCGTTTCTATTGGCATGGGCTATCTATATTTGGCAAAAATAATCACCTAAAGGTAAAGACCAAATGAAAGAAAAAAGAGGGTACCACTTACGCCATTACCTACCTCAAATGTTTAAAAACCAAACCACTAACCATCAACTTCATTTAACTCAGAACTAGTTTTCATCTGCATTTTTTGTCTTCATTAGTATTCATATACATATTTTTATTTTCAACCGTTGCTGTTGTATCTCTTGGCCGCCAAATTTTGTTCATTAGAACTGAGCCCATCAATTTATCTTTCTTTCATCTTTTGCCAGACACGAAAAGCCGGTTATTATCTAATAACAATCCGAATAATATTAAAAATTAAGCCTATACAAGATATTTAGAAATATTCGATACTTGTTTTATTAATTCGGTAGTCTGTTTTACAGTCCGGTTGGGAATGTGTTGATTTTCTTCGGAATATAGATGTGGGAAACGTGTCCATAACAATACATAGTCTATACTCCCTTCGAATTAAATCAAAATCGAATAGAGAAGAGAATATATGGGAAACTACAAAATTCTTTTAAAATTCCATAAAAAAAATTTGAAACATTTTTTTTGAGAGAACATTCATGATTTTTGGGACATAAGTTTGTTGTAATTCCCGAATTTCTTAACCAACGGTTAAACACATTAGTTTTCTTTGCATACTTGTCAAAACACATTGAAATTCGGTTCAAGAGTCGCGAAAAACAAATAAAAGCTTGAAAATATCGGAAAATAAAATAAATTAATTTTGTAATTAAAACAAAAGGTTTGTTTGAATTTTCGATTTTTTAGTACGGTTAAGGGAATATAGTTTGCATTAATCATCTAAAATATACGACGTTTTCTTTCTCAAATTCTTTTAGATGATTGTTAAATATCGGTAGATTCCTCTGTTAAGAGTTTCGACTTTAAAAATGACCAAATATATTGCAGTTGCAGTATATGAAAATGAGCAACGTTAAAAATCGTACAGTTCGCGTATTCATTGAAATCAGTTGATGTGCATGCGGTTATTATGAATGAAAGCCTAGAATGATGTGTGTTAAGTTCCGTGAAAATCGGTTTAGATTTCAATATAACTCTCATATATATTATTGCCGGATTTAATATAAATTGTTATCAATGTCTTATATATATCTTTCGTTTTGCACGAAATTTGGCATAGTGACTGAATTAGGTCTACGTTTCCTGAAAATCGTTTCAGATTTATGTATAGCTCCCATATATATTTTCCTTCGATTTAATGTAAATAGTGCACCAACGTCTATATATATCTTTTGATTTGCACGAAATTTGGAATAGCGTATTGAATTAGGTCTAGAATGATGTGTGTTAAGTTCGCTGAAAATCTGTCCAGATTTAGGTATAGCTCCCATATATATATATATATATATATATATTCGCCCGATTTAAGGTAAATGGAGTACCAAAATCCCTATATATCTTTCGATCAGAATATCTTTCGATTCAGAAAATCGGTTCAGATTTAGATATAGCTCCCATATATAGTTTGGTCCAATTTTATGTAAATGGTGCAACAAAGTCCCTATATATATTTTGATATTCGCGAAATTTTGCATGGTTTGCTCAACTGAGTCCAGAATGACGTGCTCCAAATTTCGAGAAAATCGGGTCAGATATAGATATAGCTTCCATATATATATATTTAGTCCCTATATATCTTTCGATTTGCACGAAAATTGCCATAGGGTACTGAATTAGGTCCAGAATGATGTGTGCTAAGTTTCGTGAAAGTTTGTTCAGATTTAGATATTTTCGTCCGATTTAATGTAAATTGTGCACTAAAGACCCCATGTTTGGCCGACAGGCACACAATTTTGTACAATGTACTGAAGCTACTATATATAATTGAATGTTTTATACGTTGAAGTATTTCTAACAACCTCTTTTATATATTTGTTCGCCATTGACAAGTGTATTTACAGAAATTTTGTTTTGTTTCTGTATTTGTATTTACACTTGATGTTGTTCTGCATGTTCATGGTGATTTTCGTGCCTTTGAGATGAAAACCTTTTCCTACAATAGCTCGTGTGTTAAGTTTCGAGGAAATCGGGATAGATTTAAGTTCGTTCATGTTCATATGTAAAATATACCCAAAGTGGTATATAGTCGGCCCAGTCCGACTTTACTACTTTCTTTACTGGTTTAAATTTGGAAATATTCTTGGGGATGAAAGACTTTGGTGAGTATATGAAAGCCACGGAAGGAAATATTTGGCATGTCAAAGTTCGGCGATATGGTGACACAGACGCATGCTGTAATAGAATATTAGGATAATCGTCCAATTACGCAAGCAATTGACAAAATTGTGAATAAATTTAAAGAGACTAGAGCAGTTGCAAATATTGTAAAACCTGTGCATTATCGTTTCGCTTGAAAATATCGCTGCTGTAAGTGAAAGTGTGGCCGAAGACCAGAATGTGTTGATTTCTCATCGTTCTCAGGAAGAAGAACTATCTTACATCACATTATGACATATTTAGCATTTAGATCTACACACCTACATTCATATAAAAACTCAAACCGACTGAAACTCAAACTCTGGTACATTTGTACCCATCCAAAGATAGGATCTAACTTCTATGTTTCCCAACCCTTCAGCAAATTTTTGGGACCCTAGACAACATGGGACCATCAGGGCGACTCGTGGAAGTCAGAAACTACCGTGGTTTTCCTTTGGTGTACAGGGATTGTTAATTATTCACATTTTATGAGTTTAGAGCTTGTGGTTAGCGCATTTTTAACATTTTTTAATACTTTAAAATGTTATTTGATGATAATTTACATATGTACGTTAATTTACGATTGTAATAAATCAATCTAATTCGAGTATAAAAAAAATTTCAGGCCCAATGTAAAGCATAATTGGAAAATAACGAACAATAACCATTGTTTTAGTCCATGTACACAAAGGGAAAACCAAGGTAGTTTCTGACTTCTACGAGTCACCCTGATGGCCCCATGTTGTCTAGGGTCACAAAAATTTGCTGAAGGGTTGGGAAACATACAAATTAGATCCCAATAAAAAAATAACTAAAAATGCTTAACCCATTCGAAAGCTATAACAAATTTACTATGATTGTTTTAGATAGATTTTGATTTAAGCATGGATTTAAATATATATTCTTATAATGTATATATAATTTTTAGTTCCTACATGTAGACTGTATAGACTAATTTAAACAAAAAACCGGACGAAAGTCCAATATTTTAATGAATTACAGCACTATGTCTGGATGGGTACAAATGTACCACGGTTATTGATCTACGTAGGTAATAACTTTAAAAAATTCTAAAAATTATATATATGGAAAATATTTATAATTTTTTCTTCATTTATGTGTGAAAATACCTCAAGAATGATTCCTCCTCTGATTTGACCCAAATATCTTCATAATTGAGAAATTTACGGCATTTTTATTCAAAAAAGGTACAAATGTATCCGGTTATTGACCGTAGGGTTAAGTAATGAAATATATATGAAGGTACATTTCCCTTCCCCGCAGCCCTCCCATTTCGCATTATTAATTTTTGAAGCATTTATTGGTTCTATCAGGCCTAGGCAAAATTTTAGGGGCACATGGGTTATGAAACTAAGAAGAAAAATTAAGATGTTGAGATTTGCTGGGCATGTACCAAAGGGAGTGTTTCCATTGGACATATTCGGGAATCTATCTAGATTTATAATTTGTTATACATCAAACTCCGATAGGCTGCATCTGCGGATATGACATAGATTTGGTAAAAAATATTACTTTTGTATTCAGTTTGAAAAAGTTGTATTATTTTAAGGTATTTATAACCCATAATTTACACAATTTCAAAAATTTAAATTAAAATTTGGATTAAAACGTTTAATCATTTCGCAGGATATTACTATATATTTATTTTTCAGTACAATTTTGTCAATTTCCAGAAAGAATGATCTGGTATTCTGCATCTTCGAAGAGGGTTTACACTGGGAAGAAATATTACGATCTGCAAAGTTTGGATTAAATAGTTATTTCGTTCGAGAGTTATCGTGTGGATATAAAAATTAAGTTTGTATGTAACTCACTCGCTTTCATAAAAGTAGGTATATGCTCAACATCCGTAAATCTAGTCCTAATGAACCAAATTTGGTGTTCCACTATTGGCCAGTGATCCCATTTTGTTGGCCATACATAGAGCATTGGGTTATGAAATAATTAAATATCGCTTTGGTGTACCATTTGCAGTAAATCGGACGAACTAATATAGTCAAAATAAAGCAGCGCATCCTATAATCAAAGGAAAAAGGAGAAGCATGATGTGATCGGACGATTCCAAAATATTTTTATATGTTGATACTGGATCCCGACAGTATGTGAGTCGTCCACAGAACAACATATTATGGTTCTATTTGAGAATATGAAATGCATATAGAATTAAAATTTCATCAGGACAAAGATCTAAAACAGAGGAATCGATTAGCAAAACAGTGATTCCAGGACAAAAATATAGATATTACGGAAAAGCCATCGCAGTAATCTCAATTTAATATTTGTTTTGCAATTTCAAAAAGGAGGTCGTCATAGCTAAAATCATGAATAACAATGAGCTATGAAGTATAATTTAAGAAGCTTAACTAAAAATTCCGTGCAAAAGATTCAAAGTGGGGTGAATGGTATAAAGAGGGGATGTTTACTCCACCACAAGTACGTAGTGAAACACATACGTAAAATATGCCAAGGCCTGTTGAGATTGTTTGCTTGAGATTGGTGTCCTTATACTTCTTGGAATTCTGTATTCTTAGTGAAGTCCCGCAGTCTTTTTCATTCACACATCCTCATTTTATTTATGTAGGGTATAGTACCATTAGGAATTAGGTTTAAATGTTTGCAAACGCGTACTACTTTCGACACATCCAATGTGAACGTGCCTGCTGGCTGCGATTTCCCTTGAAAATTCCTGTAAGTTTGCTGATTTTTGCTGTTTCAAGGTTTTAAATGTTCTCATTTTTATTCTCATTTTCGTCCTCCAATAATATTTTTGTGTTCTTTTCAGAGTTTCATGTTATTCCAAAGAATTTCGTGGGTCTCTTTCGCCCATGACCTTACTCGTAGATGCGTTGCCCTATAGTGTGTAGGTTAGTAGCAATTCTGACGAGTAGTTTGCTTTCGTATTGCCTATGATTCCCGTGAGACGCGGTACCTACATGATTCGTACAAGACCGTGGCTCGAGAAATTGTTTATGGTTTGATGAATTTCAGTACAATTTTGAATTTAACTATTTCGGATGATATTGTTTTCAAAGTTATCAGTTAGGATATTTGTTTTAGTTAGTCTAGAATTTTAACCTTACCAGTTTTGATGCTCCGTCACTGCTCCAACCTCCGCCTGACGAATCGTATGGTGATCTGACAGGCAAAATGAAATTGTGCTAGTGGTCCCTTAGTCCATGAGTTTTTGACCGATATTAGAGTTTCCTATGATGTGACTTCTCATGTTATAGGATGTGGAAGTAATTGATGATCTGAGCATGAACTAGGTTCTTCTGCGGTATATTGTATCGTGTTATGATCCACTATTGCAAGTCTTAACGCTGAGACGGCCGCCTCGTATTTTATTTGGATATCATCGTTGATGTTGTCGGCACAATCCCACAAACATATACCAAGACAGCATGTCCTCTGAATTTTCTGTAGAGCTTTTATATATTTTTGTCCATTGCTGTTTATAAAATTACAGACACGCCATATAAATGTGTAATAGGCTTTGTGTTTCAGTTTTAAAGATTTGAGAGAATTTGCTGATAGAGATTTTTTTCGAATAAAAATGATTCATGAAATAAAATACAAAATGCTTTTCTTTTTAATTTTTCTATTTAAATTTATTAGATGGGGGCGAATTGACCGCCAAATGAATTCATGTATGATTTAAATAACTAAAGCCAAATATTGGACTACTTATAAAACTAATAACAACAGATTTTAGAGCATTCATGCCCTATCGAGCGAATGGATCAATGTGCGATTAACGATGAGTGGTGGTATGATTGTAAAAGATCACAGAATACTTGAGGTGTGGGCTTATTGCCAACCACCAGCTGAAGAAGCACCGGCATATGAACCAGCGCCGCTGGCACCACCATAACCACCGGCACCACCATCAGCACCCAAAGCACCGATAACTTTAAGGGATTTCAAAGTTTCAAGTGCATCGTCGAAGCCACCAGAGCCAGCAGCAGAAGAAGCGCCAGCATCAGCAAAACCGCCATAACCACCAGCAGAATAACCTCCAGCAGATGCCTCTTCGTGAATAACTTTAATAGTTTGTTCAGCAGCGGCGCTAGCACCACCGGCCGAGTAACCACCGGATGAGTATCCTCCGGCGGAGTATCCACCGGCAGAGTAACCCCCAGCCGAAGCACCACCTTGTTCATGGACAACTTGAATGGTCTTAACTTCTTGAGCAGCACCGGAACTGGCACCTCCATATGAATAACCACCTTGAGCTCCACCAGCGGCAGCACCACCTTGTTCATGGATAACTTGAATGGTTTTTACTTCTTCAGCAGCACCGTGGCCATGGCCGCCAGCAGAGAATCCACCGGAATAACCACCAGCGCTAGCACCTTGTTCGTGGACAACTTGAATGGTTTTAACTTCCTCAGCAGCACCGTGACCGCCAGCGGAGTAACCACCGGAATAACCACCAGCAGCAGCACCTTGTTCGTGGACAACTTTAATGGTTTTTACTTCTTCAGCAGCTCCGTAACCACCAGCAGCAGCACCACCACCATAGGAGTAACCACCTTGACCACCAGCAGAAGCACCAGCTTGTTCATGGACAACTTGAATGGTTTTGACGTGTTGAGCACCACCATGACCACCGGCGGCTGCGTATCCGTGTCCTCCTTGCTGCTGCTGTTGTTGTTGATGGATAACCTTAATGGTCTTGACTTCTTGGCCACCAGCGACAGCACCACCATGAGCATAACCACCAGCTGAGTATCCACCTTGTTGCTGTTGTTGTTGATGGATCACTTTGATTGTCTTGACTTCTTGGGCGCCACCGGCAGAGTAACCACCATATTGTTGTTGTTGCTGTTGTTGTTGGTGAACAATTTTAATTGTCTTAACGGCTTGACCACCAACAGCGGCACCAGCACCACCACCATAGGCATAACCACCATGTCCACCGGCTTGTTGTTGATGGATAACCTTAACGGTCTTAACCTCTTGGGCACCACCGAAACCACCAGCAGAGGCACCTCCAGCATAACCACCAGCTTGTTGTTGATGAATGACTTTAATGGTTTTGACGGCAGCACCACCACCATAACCTCCTGCAAAACCACCTTGAGCAGCACCACCTTCTTGGTGGATCACCTTAACAGTGTGAACGGCACCACCAGCTGCAGCGCCACCGCCATAGCTTCCGCCATGACCACCACCGCCACTGTAACCTCCATGGCCACCAGCAGCATATCCACCGCCAGAGCTACCGCCCAAGAATCCGGCTGAGCATGAAGCTACTAAAACTGTTAAAATACACACGAAAACCTAGAATTCGAAAAAGTATTCCATTAGTTACTCCATACCACTCCAAATTCCGCTTTGAATGTACCCACCTTCATATTAGGAATCTTCTTGCTTAGCTGTAAAAATGGAAGATCAAAGGTGATTCCTATGCGACTTGTCTCCGAATGAATTGAGACTGATGTTGATTCGCTGTAACCATTGGTGTTTTATATGAAAATCTAAAATCATGACTTCTCTGTCGATATCGAAGAAAACTCATCTTCGAATGTGGGTAGCTTCTGTTTCGACGCTGCAGATGCCAATTTTGGTAGTCAAATTACATATCAGCTGCAGTAACTCTCTTCGGCTTTCGTTTCTATTGGCAATGGTCACCTATATTTGGCAAAAATGATCACCGAAAGGTAAAGACCATACGAAAGAAAAAAAAAACAACAATAATAATTAATGTTAGCTGAAATTACAAAAACCACAACAACATTGAAGGTGTTAGATTGAGTGGATACCACTTAAGCCATTACCTACCTCAAATGATTAAATGTAGCAACAACAACACCACTAACCACCAATTTCATTTAAATCAGAACTTGTTTTCATCTGCATTTTTTGTCTTCATTTGTATTCACATACATATTTTTATTGTCAGCCGTTTCTGGAGTATCTCTTGACCCCCAAATGTTGTTCATTAGAGGGAAGTGGAAGTTGTTTAACAACAACTCATTTCCAGCTACCTGCCTAACGCCAATGCCCATGCGAACTGAGCCCATTAATTTCTCTCTTTCTTTTATCTATTGCCAGACACGAAATGTGTCGGGCAAAGGGATTTCCCCCTGGTAGAAAACGAAAAGCCGGTTATTATTTAATATCCATCCGAATACAATTAAAAATTAAGCCTATAAACATATTTATTAATATTCAATACTTTTATTAATACGGCAGTCTGTATTATAGTCCGGTTGGGAATGGGTTTTCTACGGAGCATAGATGTAGGAAACGAAATAATTATAATACGCTCAATAAAAATGTTTCCATTATCAAGGATAGTCGAAAATTTCTTCGAAATAAATCGAAATCGGACAGAGAAGGCAAGCTATATTTTCCTACATTAATATATAACCATTAAGAAAACCACTATAAATGGATGGGGCCGTAAAAAAGATACGATATACTACAACCACATTCTGTTGAGCTAATTCACGGACAAAATTCCTAGCCAAAAATATTGATTATCGTAAACAATATCAGAATACTAGACAATACATCGATATAATTGATCATTTTAACCGATCCAGAATAGAACCTAAACGCAAAATTTTGTGATGATTTGCCAATGACTACGACATGTATTTTTTATTACAACAATGACATTGGTATATTAATTCAGTTATTTCATATACGATATATGTATGCATCTACTAATATGTGGGTCTAGTACAAATCCCTCACAATATATCGAGCCCTTTTCGCTAAAATGTTGTAAGCGACAATATTTCAAATTTGGTTTTTAATGCTAATCGATAAGTACACTTTGTAGATTGTTTACAATTTACGGTCACAGCGAAGTGTCGCTTACATTAGGCTCGTGCCTAAACTCATGCGCAAGCGTATGATTTTATTCACCTCAAAAGTTGAATATTATACATGCATTTCAATGAGTGTTATCCAAATAGGCACTGCATATCAAAATATGAAGTTAAAAACAATATGTTTTGGATTTTTTAAATATAATTCCACTCATTGAAAAATGTATGTTTCTATAAACGTAAAAAAATTGATCATTTAAAAAAGATTATTCTACCATTTTCGCCGTTTTCAATTGGCACATATGCATATAGGGTCCTTGCGTAGTTGGTTATTTTAGTACGGAACGCATTGAATTAGGTTAGAGCCATAAAATGGAATAAAAAATAATTTGACATTTAAAAGAGAGCAGATTCGTTCAAATTTTCAATTCAATTTTTTTAAATAAGTTGGATATTTTAAATAATATAGTAAAAAGTTAAAAATATGTCAGTGAATATTGGATTAATATCACATAATTGGATTTCACGTCAAAGCAAGTGTGCTGATGAAGATCAGTCGGTGTTGCCGACAGATATAGGATTGTAGGTTGTATCAGAGGTGAGGGCTGACGGGACCCATTGGATTTATAAATATTGAAAATTTAGACGATTTGTGGGGGAGGTACCAGAATAAGTGGACCAATGGGTCCCATCTTCAAACTTGATCTATCCTTGGTTGAGCAAATGTTTGATATTAGATTTATAAATATTGATAATATTGATCATTTGAGGGGGAGGTGCCAGAAGGAGTGGACCAATGGGTCCCATCTTCAAACTTGATCTAGGCTTTGTAAAAATATTAGGTTGTGCAAAATTTTGATCAAATCGGACATTTCAATCGTCTAAAATTGGATTCATAAATATTAACATTTTTGACCCTTTGTGTGGGAGGTACCAGAAGCAGTGGACCGATGAGTCCCGTCTTCAAACTTGATCTAGGGTTGGTTAATAGAATAGGTTGTGCAAAATTGGTTTAAATCGGCCATTCCAACCGCCTAATATTGGATTCATAAATATTGAAAATGTTGACCATTTGTGGGGGAGGTACCAGAAGGAGTGGACCAATGGGTCCATCTTCAAACATGAGATAGGTTTGTCAAAGATAATAGGTTGTGCAAAGTTTGGTTCAAATCGGACACTCCATTCACCTGATATTGGATTTATAAACATTGAAAATTTTGACCCTCTGTCGGGGAGATACCAGAAGGAGTGCACCGATATTCCCCATCATCGAACTTAAACTAACATTGGAAGAAATATTAAGATGTGCAAAATTTGGATGAAATCGATTATTCTCTTCGAGAGTTATTGTGAGCATCAGCCAGCTAAATTTTCTAAAACGGATTTGGCCCAAAGAAACATAGACCCCATTTTTCTTTGGGCAAAGCAATATTTCGATGAGGCACATTTTTACCATATCAAAGTGTATATACCCTCATTAGCCATAAGGCTGAAGGTATAAATACTCAAAGGCAATATTTAAGCGGAAAAAATAATAGGACTACAGGCTTGGTATGCTAAATTGTCTTATTTTATTGGGGAAAAAAAAAAATAAAAAAGAACGGCGTCCAAAATCAAGTTTGACTCTGATTTCCCTTTTATATATTAACATTTCATACAAAGCAACATAACAGGCCAGGCCTGAATCTTCGTTTAGGGAGTCAAACTTTCTGAATTTGAAGAATTTTTATACCCTACACAACTATGTTGTCGGGGTATTATAGTTTTGTACATCCCCAAGAGTTTGTAACGCCGCGAAATATTGTTCCTAGACCCACCTTTAACCGATCGTCATATCTCGACTAGCTGAGTCGATCTAGACATGTGTGTCCGTCCGTCCGTCTGTCCATTATAATTTGTAAACACGATACAGGCCACAGTTATGGACCAATCTTCATAATTTCTTCAATTTTGCATGTAGGATTGGTTTTAGCCAATAAAGATCGGTATTATTTAGGGGATGATATGAACCAAAAACTTTATTTTTGTCTGATTTTGTCTGGTCCCTCCAGAGGCCGCAATTATGGTCCAAACATCGCGAAATTTGTTTTGACAGAGATCGGTCAATATTTAGCGGGTCAAATTGACCCTGACTTTTGTGTGAAAAATGACAAAATTTGTATTCTATAGCGTATAGATTTACCCTGAAGGACATAAACCCGAGAAGTTGATAGTATATCCGCACAAAGTTCGTATGATCGGCCCCGTTCGACTATACTGCTCCGCTCACTGGTTTGAAAATGCTGAAGTAAATTAAAAAGTTTTTGGAAAACAAATTCCGAAATTTGTGCAAAGAATTATGTTTCTCCCACACACCACAACAAATTTTTAGTCAGGTAAGGGAGGGAAGGGATTGTTGTTCTTGTTTTATACGTAAATCTTAATGATCTCACTAATGTACATAGTAATTACACTATTTTAGAAAAATCTACATTTTTTGTAAAAAAAATCTTTTATGTAATTATACCCTTCACCACACTGTGGTACAGGGTATTATGTCTTAGTGCATACGTTTGTAACAGGCAAAAGGAAACGAGATAGACACATGGTTACTTTTGTGAATATGCCTAGAATCACTTTCTGAGTCGATTTATGCATATCCGTTCGTACGTCTGTTTATCTATACATGTGACTTGTAAATAAAGTTATGATCCGAATTGGATGAAATTTGACACAGCTCATTTATTTGGCACAAGGATTTATATATAACTCCCATATATAAATTTCGTCCGATTTAATGTGAATGTTGCACCATAGTCCCTATATATCTTTCGATTTGGACGAAATTTGGCATAGCGTAGAATGATGTGTGTTAAATTTCGTTAAAATCGGTTCAGATTTAGATATAGCTCCCGTGATAGTTTCGTCTGACTTTAAGTTAATGGTGCACAAACAGACCGTTTGTTAGAACGCATCTGTTGCATATACCCAAAGTGGTGAAGGGTATCATATAGTCGGCCCGTCAGACTTTACTAATTTCTTTACTGATTTAATTGATGTTTTTATCCAGCAATTATTAATTGCATATTGCTAATTTCGAATAAATGAGTTCTAAAATAATAGTAGCCCTACAATTCTGATCTACAGAACATCAAGTATGATTAGATCCTGGAATTGATATTATATCCCATAATGAAATCAATAGTTATTTGTTACAAAGTTTAATGAATCTTTTGTGGATGCTTGCTAATTACTCAATTTAACCGATACACTTAGATTTCATAACCCCTAATGGCTTAATTGGCCTATACACACAAAACTGTTCAGCCTACTATCAACAGCTAATTAAAAAAAAAATAATTTTTACATAAATTTAAGAAATATGGCTACTGTTGACATAATACCCAATGAATATAAATAATATTAGGCAAACTAACAACAACAACAACGACCACAGCAACAGCATGACCATACCAAAGATATTTCGATGTTCATAATTAATGGTGTTTTACATAAAAAACTAAATGAATTAATAATATCTTTGGATAATTACTATAGATTGGTCAATCTAGCTAAAACGTCAGAAATGCAATCCAAATGTTTTGCATTCAAATATTTTATTCGGATTACATTAACAACGTTTA